ACTAAAGACTCTGAGGGGGACTTACATAGTAGATACCGAAGACTCAACTGGGTATTTCTTTCCTGTGCAACACCTGGCTACAGTTCTTGGAAAAAGGAGATACCAGTGGAACTCACTGAATGTTGGTGTAAATCCAGCACCAGCTCAGTGAAAGGAGAAACGTATGTCTGACCTTTGAGTGCAATGCCATTTATTTGGGCCTGGAAGAGGCTTAATATAACTTAAAAAGATCCTCCCAAGACTGAGGATTTGAAATATGGGCTTTTCTGGACAGTAGGATAAATATGTCTACTGCTCTCTTTTCAAACTTTAAAATATTTTTCCTTTGGTAAGTATGGAACCATTTTGCAGCAATAAGCATAATATATTTTTTTCCTCTGATAAATTTTCTTGGTAACATACTGCATATTACAGGATATATAATAGGTTTAAACCATATTACACTGCACAGAGTGTCCCTCATTTCAAATTCTTGAAGGCTCTAAATAGTATGTTTTTTTTTAGATACATGACTTAGATTTTTTTTTTTTATAGGAGTTTTATGACTAAAACTTTGCATAACGCTTTTAAACCAAGGGGTATACGAGCCAGAATCTGTTTGGTAAAATGAATCATTTTGTCTGTTATCTCTTAATTAAAATAGAGCTTTAAACTTGCTCTAGTTCAAACAAATTAGTTAAAGAAATCTTATGGCCTATTTTTATATGGGAGGTTAGGCTAAATGATTGCAGTGGTTCCTCCGGCCTTATCTGTGGGTATATTTGCAGTTCAGTTCTGACGAAAGACTTTTTTGGAGAGTGGTGGTGGGTATTTGGTAGCCCTTCCTACTAAGGTCATGTGTTTGTGAATTTGTCAAAGCCAGGTTTCAGTTGCTTAGTTTGGTGAAATTGTGGCTATATACCAGTTTGCATCAGGATTGTTTAAGGGATATTATTTGTGTTGTTATTTTCCAGGGTGTGGGGGGCGAGGGGGAACACGACACAGATACCTGGTTCTTTGGTTTTCCCCAGTCAAAACCTGTCTATCAGAATGTATGAAGAGCTTAAAAGAGCTCACATTAATTCCTGCACCCAAAGGTCTGTGCTCTCATGGGATGTCTGTCTGGTGTTTACCTTCATAGCATGAAGGTAGATGAGAAGAGGAGATTGCAGGGTTGCAGTGGAGAAGAGGAAAAGCCAGATCAGAGGGAAGCAGCTGAAGGGCTAAGCCTGAAGAAGAAGGAAAAACTGTAACTTCCAGTAAAGGGAAGAGATAAGAATTTAGGTCAATGGGAAACCAAGGCAAGCTGAAGAAAAAAAAAAAAATTAGGGGTGGCTAAACAAGATGGGTTAGCTTTGGCAAGATTGATAAGGTTGGGAACTGGTAGAGCTGGGGAGGTATGTGGGAGTTAATTCAGTATTTGGACTAGTAGAAACAAGGATGACTAATCTGTTTGGATATTTGAGATAGGAACCAGTAAAAGAAAAAACTACACTGAAAATACCTATTTCTCTGGAAAACTATTCTATCCTAGTGGATATCTTGGGCAGCTTGGTGTGCAGCTGCCTATAACCATTCTGACTCCAGTAACTCAAATAGTAACAGCCGATGCAAAGATTCATGCCTTACCCTTGCAGGACCATATATGTTTATTTTTGGCAAGAAAGAGCTCTGCATTGAAGTTCAGTTTACAAAGGCAATTTGAGTTGTGAAACACTATAGATATTGCTACATTTTGGCCTCCTTAAGAACTCATGACCTCCAGGAGTTGGATGTCAAAGTTCTAAGTTGAAAAATTTCATTTATCTCCAAATGAGCTGTTCTTATTCTTCCTTTCCTGTGAACACTTTTACATTTTTAACCTTTTGGTCCTGATTTCAAACAAAGATTCTTTTCATCTTAAGGAAAACTAATCACAGGAAAAAAGTATATTCTGGATAGCATTAACACACATGAATTTGGTCTTTTATTTTTTGCATATAAAAACTTCAGAGTGCTTTCCCAGGAATGCTATGTAAAGACAATGAGTAAAAAGTTGGCTCCTGTGATTCTGAAATCTCTGGTGTAACTCTCTTTCAGTATGTTTATGCGTACACCCAACTTTACCCAGTATGAGTCATCTCACTGACTTCAATTAGCTGTCCCTTTGCTACTGACAGGTTGTGCAGCTCTTTCCTTACACACTCAATGAGTCTTTGTCCAGCTCACTGCAGTCTACTTGGATCTTCACAAGTCTCCATGCAGTTAGTATAAGTTCCCTTGACAAATCCTCATTTTAGGGAGGGGTATCCTGTGTAGTCTTTCATCCTGCATCCTTGATGGAATGTAGGACTTGAAGTGACACAAATGGTCATTCATCTTCCTTGTTTTGATGGGGTTGATACCATTTGTGACAGATGTTTCTACAACCTACCCTTGAAATCTTTTGGAGGTGGACCACTGTTTAAAGTGACCATTTCCTTAGGCCGTGTCAAGTACTTATGTAGCCTGACTCCTGGAGAAATTGATCTAGCCTAAATCTGGTACAACTTAAAGTTACTCTCATCCACAGCAAATGTCCCAAAAATATGTACTTTCATCTTCATACATCTCATAACCATTTTCATGCCTCCCCAAGTTTTTGCAGTCTTTCATTGCAGAGTGCATTCACAAGAGCTCTAATAATTTTTTCTTTGAAGGCCTGTTCATTATAAATGTAAACTAATGGTTTGGCATAATTTATTTCCATGGTTGTTACTTACCTCATTATCTTATAGGTGCTTACAAATTTTGTTTTTCACATTATTGTGCGGTGGAATCGATGATTAACTGAATTCCCATCTTATTTGTCTCACTCCTCCTCCCTCCTCTCCCATTTTTTAAGGTGGTGTGAATACAAGTGCTTTGGAATATTTTATGCAGAGAATTACTAGTTGACTGAGAAGCATTTTTCCATTAAATACTTTTTCCAGAAAAGATCTTGGAAAGCATAGACATTAATAGAATTAATAGGCATTACTGACCTATAACAAAGAGGATTTATTGAATATACTCAGAATACACTGTTAGGAATAATGCCTGAGTATTAAACAGCATGCCCAATGACTGCTTGTTTTCATAAGATAATTTCCCAAACATTGCATTGTACCCAGGGGACCCGACCAGGTTCTGAGGACGGCATGGAGCAAGCATGTGTGGACCTGGGTGTCAGGGCTTCCAGGCTAATGGGACATGGGCAGAATCTGGCTGCTCTTCCCAACAGCTTCTGCCAGGTACATCGGCTCTAATTAAATCTCAGGAGAAAATGGTGATTCATTTCTGATGGACACAGGCTTAGCAAAGGACTTACACAACAGTAACTTGAACCCTTTCATTTAGAATTGCTGCTGCAGGACTCCTTAAGGATAGAGACTTTCAAAATACTCCATTACAAAAACCATAGCAGTTCAAATAAAAATAAAACTGGAATTACATGACTAAATTTTTCACTGGTCATCTCCTCTTATAAACTATTTACTGAGTAGCACTATGTCGTGGGTTCAGCAGTAGCAGTCATTTTTCTCCTTCTTAGTAGCTGGTGCAGTGCTGTGTTTTTGACTTTCAGCCTGGGAACAGCGCTGATAACACTGATGTTTCTAGTTGTTGCTAAGTAATATTTACTTTGACCAAGGACTTTCTGAGTCTCATGCTCTCCCAGGGAGGAGAGGAAGCCAGGAGGAAGCAGAGACAGGACACCTGACCCAAACTGACCGAAGAGATATTCCATACCACAGCATGTCATGCCCAGGATATAAAACTGAGGGCAGTAACCCAGAAGGGCTAGATCACTGGTTGGGTCGGGCTGGGTATCGGTGAGTGGGTGGTGAGCAGTTGTATTCTCTTCCCTTGTAATTTCCCTTATCATTATTATTATTGGTGGCAGCAGTAGTGATTTGTGTTATACCTTAGTTACTGGACTGTTCTTATCTCAAGCCGTGGGAGTTGCATTCTTTCGATTCTTTTCCCAGTCCCTCCAGGAGTAGGGGAATGAAGTGGGGGGGGGGGGGGGTTGGGGGTGGTAGTGGTGGTGTGAGAGAGCGGCTGTGTGGTTCTGAGTTACCAGCTGGTCTTAAACCATGACACACTGATAGCAGGAGATAATCCACAAAATCTTTACAGCTCCTTGTACACCCTCCCACCAACAAAGAAGATCATAGATGATAGGCTAGGTGGATATTTGGTTTATTATGTCTGGGAAAAAAAAATGCTCGTGTTTTTTTTGTTGTTGTTGTTGTTTTACTATCTCTATCTTTAAAATTAATGATGTACCTTCTGTCTTTAAAAAAATTTAAATACTCTTGTCTCTAGTTTATTGCTGTGATCTGCTCATCTTATAGATTGGTACCAGCTGCAGCTTTTGGGATAAACTGGATCATATGTCCTCAGTAAAATCCTGGGCAGAGGTAGCCACATCTTTGCAATGGGAGGAGGCTAACGGCCAGCCTGACAAGTAGTCATTGTTCCAGTACAGTCAAACCCAGGCTGTTTCTCTCAGTATACTCTGTCTCTCTTTCAGCACTAGTGCACAGATATCCTCTGTATGGAAACGAGGTTACAAATAAGGGTGGTGCAATGGTGCACATGTTCTCCCAGCCTGATACGGGACTGGGGTGTGATGAACTCGTGCTCCTGGTATTGCCTTTGCACCAGATACTTGTACTGCTATGTCTCCTTTGTTTGTCACTTTGCCAGTATTAGAATGTAGTGGTCCTACAAAGTGCAAAATACAGGCCCTGCATTTTTCTTTCTTTTTTTTTCCCCCTCTAATTTTTTTACCTTTTATTAACTGACACAGATTTATTCCTGGGTTTTGCAGACTACTTTTCAATGTTTTTCTCTTTTCACGCTTTCAAAACTGTAAATGTGGCAACAGAGTTCCCACTTTTCAGGGAATTGTATAATCTGATTTTAGGAAGACTCAGGAGTTTTTCCTGTTCTTTGTAAAAGAATTTTCAGTGATTGAATAGTTGGTTTTGTTTTTTATTTTTTTCTTACTTTGCCAGGTGACACAATTGATGATCAAAGTAGAGAGTCAAAGGATAAAACTTCATTTCCAGAGACCAGACCCATGTACAAGCAGCCTTCACAGGTAGGAGAATAATTTCCTTGTAGCACACACGATGAAACTTCCATAGCAGCTCATTTAAGAAGCATGAATATCCTGCAGGAGAAAGTTTCAACATATTCATATCTTCTGCAGACTGAGTACCTACTCAGCCTTCCTTGTCAACTATCATAAAAGAAGCACTGCTAGTAATTAGATGGCAATATTATCAAGGCCACCAATATTGGCTTGAAAAAGAAATAATGAGACAACTGGGCTGTATGGTATTGCTGAGTATCTTATTTTTATACTTGAGACACACAAGAACAAAAATACGGCTAGAATGTTAATGAATTGCATAGAAGCATTGGTGTGGTGAGTAGTGATACAAAACGTCAAACATTTACATAAGTCGTTTATTTCCCCAGCTACAATTATAAGTAACATGTTGTAAATGTGTGCGTATAATAGACTGTCTATGTGTTTGCTTTCTGTTTCAGGACTGTGTGGTTGTAAATAATCTGGACTTCTTTTTCTTCATCTGGTTTATTTAATATGTAAGCCATGTATACCAAAGAGGGCTTTTCAGAGTATTTTTGCATATGATGTACAAATACTTGCTTCTCCTGCTCTGAAAATGTTTTTGCAATGAGTATGAGCTTGTTTTCCATTGCTGAGTAGTTTTAGCTATTTGCAAGGTAACTGTGCCACATTTTGCTTGGATATTTTGTGCTTTTGAGATGTGTTTTGTTTGTTTGGGGTTTTTTGGTTTTTTGTTTGGTTTTTTTTGTGGTTTGGTTTGTTGGTTTTTTTTTCTTCTCTTAACCTATGTTTTCTCTCTTTCTCATAGCTAGCCTTGAAGCTAGCTGTGTCTCTGTCTGTCCATCTCTTCCCAATGCCATGTTAATATTTGTTATTGCTGAGTCCCTTGGTTTATCAAAGGTGTGTGTGATAATGTTGCATCTTTAAGAGTGGCCAACAGGTGGGTGTGATTTTCTTTTTTAATTCCAAATTAAATACTGTGTCTGATCCAGATATCCTTAATTCATCATAAGTAACATGTGGTTTGCCTTCTGATAATGTGGTAGTATGAATTAGTTACAATTAATCACAAAATTTTAGTCTGACTTCCAGACCCATGCACGTCTGAGCCAGAGTGTTTTGCAACCAAGTCCTGCAATTCTGAGGGAATATAACGCATTGATGTTGTGGGTACCTACTGCACAGACATAGTTTCTCCTAATACGATATTCTCACTAGGTATTCTGAATTGCAGTTATTGTAGTGTCAGTGGTTTGTTCAATTATATGGAATTTCAGTAAAACGTGAACTTGTGTAGATTTTAAGTGTTTATTAGTTAGAGGAAAAAAGCAAAGTTTTCTAAATAAAATAGCATATATTGCAGTGAAAATAAACCAAATATTTATTTTAACCTTTCTATTAAAAGACTCATGTCACAAAAATATTGTACAAACTGGCATGCGACAACATCGGTTAAATTAAGATACAGTGTTTAATTTAGCTAAGATATGAATTGCGGTCTAGATTTCAGTATTTGGACTTCATGTTTATCCTAAGGAATTCTCAATTTCTCAAATTGAGTAACTGAGGATATGGATAATTCTGTCCATTAAGAAAGCAATATTCCTATTTGCAGTGGTGAGTGTATTTTTATAAATTTGTGGGTGATCTTTACTAATTTAGCAAAACTGGAAAAGCAGTGTATTATGTACTCAGTGTGGCGCTGAGGCATAGAACATTAATTGAAATCATAAACTTATTAGCATTAAAAGAAGAGTGCTTCATAAGCACAGTACATCACATTAAACGATATTTGCTAGACTGTAAAATAGGATCAGATTTTTGTCATGCAGAGCGGAACAGAAGAGCATTTAGTTCTTCAACTGCATCTTTCAAGTGCTAGAAACTTGCTTTTATTTTTATTTTACAATTTATTTGATGTAGACTTTATGGAACATGGGAAGTGTTTTTAGAAATGTTATTTAAAGAAGAATGAAGTAATACTTTGTTCCTGGGTTACTTCCTTATTCAAAAAGGAAATGAGGTTGCGTTTGATTTTTTTGAACAAAGTATCTTCTGGAGTGTTTTTTGGTAACTGCCGTCATCTTTGGAATTGCCCATTTACTTGGATGCTATAGGATTTGTTTGCTGTACAGTTACTGAATAGTCAAATACAGAAATTGGTATAATCTTGCTTAAATTATTTAAATTAATGCATAAATAAAAGCTTACACTGAGATCATCTTGTAGCTACTAGCAACACGTAACCTCTTGCAACAAAGGTCATATCTACAGTCTGTGTTATTCTAAGAGGTTTTCATATTGCATGTATGTTAGAGGAACTGCAGATATTTAGAAAATTGTTGGAGGAAGGGTGTTCTCAAAGGCCAGCTTTAGTCCAAGCATTTCATCTTCTGCTGCAGAGAGTGGGAACAGAAGCTGCTGCTTTGAACAATCCCATGTGGAGTATCCTCTCCATCTCCATGGGTACAGATAGATGTTTGGGAGGGTCATCTCTCAGTGCCGAGTCAGTCCTATGGAGATGTGTTGTCCGGCAAGGTAATGAGTGCTCTGGGCCTAATCAAACATCCACAATGCCACTGAAGTTGCTTCAGGCTCATGAACTAAAAGTCATACACACATTTAAGTGCTTTTCTGGATTGAGGCCAAAATGCTTAGTGTTCTGCAGTGCTGAGAACTTGAATTAGTCTCTTTGTGACTGTGAAATACAAAGCCTCTAATTTTAACTGCAACACCATCATCATAGAAAGAGATATTACAGTGGGGGGTTTTTTTCATGCTTGTGAGTTTTCCATTATTATAGTACAGTTTCCAGATAATTCAATCTTTATCTGCTTTTAGTGGGAATTTAAGGTTATAGAAGATAACAGAATGGAAACGTTAGTTTTGATATATGAAGAGTGCCAGAGACCCTAGTAATGTGATGGGGTTATTTTTGATAATGAGCTCTTCCATTGGTAAAGCAAATTAGTGCAACCATGTATTTTTGTCCTACTGTGAGAACAATTACATAGCATATCTATTAGGAGACATAAAAAATACTTTTGACAGATGGTATGGCTGTGAATTAGGATTTATGAAGATTATTGTATGTCTGGTGTCCAGGACACCTGGGATTATTAAATTGATGTAAGAAACAACAACGACAACAACAAAAATTACATTCCTGATAATAGCTGCAGTGTTTTGTATCTCCCTACTGTCACCTTAAGAAGCAGCTTGTGTTTATTTGATATTGCAGTTCTTGACAATCCGACATGCGCTCTTTAGCCAACAGATGTCAGCAGATTTAATGGGTGAAAACTGTACCAGTAAGAGTATTAAAATAAACTACCAAAAATGAGAGCTGTCTTTAGATTGCAAACTAAGATTTTCCTCATGCTGTGTTCTGGTTCTGGTTTTGGTTTTGGTTTTCCTTATAGTCCTATTTCTCCCTCAGATACTTAATGGCTGTTGTCTTCTATCTAAGGAGCTTGTTATACGTTTTCTAGGGCAGAGGAGAATCCCCCAAGGGATTGCTTAATCCATAATTATCTAATTTATATGTTGTTGTTATAGCCACTCTTAATTATATACCTTGCTGTGATACTTATCATCATGGAATGTAGTTTTCTTTATGGATTGCAATGGTTCTTGTGCCCTTTCTTTTCATAATTTGCTACTAAAAACTGAGAATGTAGCAGAGAGCAAGCCCATGTTTCTTGAAGTAAATCTAATATTATCTATGGTTTCCTGCATATACTTATGTGCACCATTTTAGGCAAGTATGTAAACGAATTAGAGAACAAAAATTATATCTGAATTGGCAAATAATGTCCTCATTAAATTGCACCTTTGTAAAGCTGCCATGCCAGGATTCTGGATAGGTAAATAACAGTTTCCTAGGCATCTGGTTAGGGGTCATGTTAGTCAATTGGAAAGAAAGAAATACTATAAGATATAAAATATCAAAGAAGAGATAATGGGGGTTGTAACTGCACAGAGTAGGGGAAAAAATAATATTATTTTTATTCTTCTAGAGAAATTAACAAGTATTGCTTAAGTTGATAGACTTTTAAAATATCATTTTGAGCGGATCACCTGATATAATTTTAGGGCATGAATAATGCTAGTGTTACCTTGTTTTCTTTTTTATTAAAAAAATGTTATGTATTTAAAAATTTAAATTGAAATTAATTGTTTCTTTCAGACTTGTTATTGCCCACTTTTTAACTAAAGCTTGGCTGTCTGGGTTGTTTTTGCAAGTTACTGGAAAAGGAGCTGTAACTGATCGTGTTTGTTCAGTCACCCAACTCTTAGTTTATGGTTCAGAGGGTCCCATATTTAAAATCACAAGAAGCAAGTCCTGGGATAGATTTACTGCACCATTTTAAATATCCTACATTTCCTTTAGAGAAGGTGGTTTATATTCAGAATATTGGCCAATGATTGTGATTGCTTCCTTTTGACAAAATATAGTGTCTCTAGAAAATGTTGCTGCTTAGATTGTTTGTTTTTTTTTTATAAGCTCTTTTAAGCTAGAATTCTAGTCATGGCCTGGTTAGATTAATTGCTCGTCATATGTCATATTAACTCTAATATCTTCTTTTTCACATATAAAGCCCTTAAAGCATGTTGGTCCATATTTTCTATCTTCTTAATTGGGTATGTAAGCAATAATCACTTAATGAAATTATCCAGTCTTAGAAGCGACTAGAATAAGGCTGTCTTGCAGCAAGTCATCAAGCATGTACTGTTCTCTGAATGCTGGTACTGCCAAGAAGAAAGATCTTATGTTTTACTCAACTATTGTGTATGATCATAAGCTAAGCTATAGCAAGTGAATTTTTAACATTACATTTAAAGAAGAATGACTAGTTTTACCGTTGGTGGCTGCAATGGACATAATCTTTCTTAGCTCCCATTGTCCTTTGCATATACAGCAAATAGCTGGCAGTTCTTTGAGGGATACATGCACAGCCACTTATCAGAAGTGTGTACAAAGCACAGCTGCCATGTGATAA